TTCCTACATATCCCTGCTCAAATGTCAATTGTGTTGTGTGACATTTTTGAGGGAGACATGAACAAATGTCTATTCACCCGAGATGGGGCACTGGTAATAAACCAAAGACACTATTCTACACATCAGGGTTAGTAAAACAATGAGATTGCTGGGGTTGTGTATACAAGTATGGGTAAGGGATTACATAAAGAGCATGAGTGAGTCAAAGACATCTATATAGTAAAAAGCCCACCATCGCATAGGTGATGACTCACAAAAGCTGCTCCCTGAACAACTCATAGGCAGTCCAGCTGGTCAGAGACTTTCTTCTTCCCAGCATATATAACCCTCCGGAGGAGCCTTGTGACTTTCAAGGGGTTCCTGAGACATTTTAAATTCATTTACCTCCCGGGTCCTGTGTGTTTTCTTTTCTTCTGAACTCTTGTGACTCTTACCTCTTTGTAGGAGAGAATATTTCAATTTGGAGAAAATAGGTACACAATTTAAAACAACAATAAATGAATTAGCAAGTAGGAGTGCCATAAGTATTAGCAAGTGTGTGTGTGTCAGAAGTATGAGTTTATCCAAAATAATATTCCAACCTCTTATCCACTCTCTCTCTCTCTCTCTTTTTTTTAGACTTATTTGTGTATGAGTATTCTACCTGCATTTATGTCCACCATATGAAAGTCTGGTGCCCATGGAGATCAGAAAGGGGTGTTGGATCTCTTGGAAATGGAGTTATAAACTACTCTGTGAGTACTGGGAATCATACCCAGGTACTCTGTTAGAGCAAGTTCTCTTAACTGCAGTGACATCTCTTCAGCCCTCATTCCCTCTCTTAATTGAAGGGGAGGAAGAGTCAGATTCCCTTAAGGAACATTCATTTGTTGCAACACTGTCTCTAGTATAAACTTGGAATCTGAAAACTAAGTCTCTTCCATACAGACTGGTGATCATATTAGACAATTATATGCTGGGGAAAAGGGATTTCCATTTTTTTAAGGAATTTCAGAAAACTTTAATGTTACTTTAGAGGACCCCTAAATATTTCTGAAGTCTACTAATTTAAGTGGAGTCTTGCACTGACCAAGTAAGAGATGGAGCTTTAATCCATTTGAATCACAGTGGTTTGAGTGGGGTCAGAGAACCATTATATGAAGATTTCATCAGTTTTCAAATTTGTAATTAGAATAAAGACACTAGCAATTAGCAGAACCTCCATATTTTCTCTCTGGTTTTGGAATAAGAATCATTATAGTGTGAAAGGCCAAGTTGAGACATACACACCAAGAAAGAGAATGAAAAAATGAAATAAATTCATTTCTTAGGGTGAACGAGGGATTGCAGATATTAATATCAATAAAGGTCTGAAGAAAGTATGTTGATGGGCACCCTCTCGTGCTAATTTAACTCGTGTCTTTGACTGGTGATGGGAAAATAGATCTTGGAGAATGACATTGGATTAACATAAATTCACTCAGATATTACTCTACATTTGCATGTGCTCTTTTATATATAGTACCTTTACTGAAGCAAGTCAACCCATCTTCTCGAACCTGGTACACAGCTGAGGGCATGACAGACACTCCTAAATGGTTTCAGTTCTCAACTTCTTACCTTTTATATGAATTCTAAATTCTTTTCCCCTTGTTTATGTTTAAGGTGCCTTTTTCATTATGAATAAGTTAGCTGTGTAATTATTGTTCCGATAATACAGCATACTCTGCAAATTAGAGATGTATAATTATTTTGCAACATATATTTGGTAATAAATGGATTTTAATACAGTAATATTATTACAAGAGATTTTCACATGTCTTCTGGTTGGACAAAGGTAAGAATAACTTACAAGAGACAAATATGGTTTTATACTTGTAAATTTTGAAATGTGACAATTATTTTAAAATTTTATTAACTACTTGTATGAATTTACCAACAATGTTTACCAATAATAACTACGAATGCTTTGAAGAGATCATCATTACAGCTTTTCACAGGAGTCATTTCAGTCATAAAAATATATACTAAAACATGTTATGTTTACAGAAGGATTCTCTGATATTCATCAATTTTTAAAGATTTTATTTAGAAACTTATATAAATATTTAACATCCTTAATATTATAATTTTATTTTTTCACTAAAAGTATACAGCATTAAGCCAAACAGAGTGGCATAAGCCTGTAATCAAAGCATGTGGGTCAGCCACAAGGTGAGTTCAAGAGCAATCTGGGCTGTTTTGAGGGTCATCACAGGCAGCAATATGTACCACAATTTGCACTTTTGTTATTGCTCATTTTTAAAGTCTATGATATAAAGAAAATTAATTCCCCCAAATACGTAGTCTTTAAATCTTTTCAACATACTCAGTATGTGATATAAATATTATTTCTATGGATGTCAGGATGTGAAGGAAAAAAGCTGAGAACTATTGCTTCTTAATCTGTGGTCCTTCATGAAATTAACTGGATGTGTGAAATATGGAGAAGTATTATTTTTTTGTAGAAAAGATCAATAGCTTTCAAAGCTTAAGAACCAGTTGACTTCAGGAATTTCAAGTACCCCTATAATTTCACTCATGGGGAGATGAACTCCACTGGCACAATCAGCCCACAGTACCACAAATGGGAGGAGTGAAGGAGTGGTAAGTAGAACTGGGATTTTCATCTGTTGAGAATCTTATCCTGGCTTTTCTTTTTTCAAATTAAGCTGCCACTGCCAAACTTGGTGATGCATAACTATAATTCCAGTACTTGTGAGGTAGAGGCAAGAAGATCAGGAGTTCAAGGTTAGTCTCTGCTATATAACAAGTTTGAGACCAGTTTGGGCACAGGAGACCATGTCTCAAACACACACACACTGAAACAAATTAAGTTGGTTCAGGAGTTTGGGGATTTTCATCCTGGGTCCAAGAGAAGAACAGGTAAAAAAGACACAGCAAAATAGAATAAATCTATTTTGCTGGATTTATAATCCAGCCCAATTCAAAATGGAGCTATCAAGGGAGGTGGTAGCACAGGCCTTTAATCCCAGGACTCAGGAGGCAGAGGCAGGCAGATGATATGTATGTTGACCATTAACCTACAATGTAGAAAAAGCATGAATCGTATCTTTTAATATTTTTCTTTTGTTTGAAGATACTTCCTGCACATAGAATAAATACACTCAATAAAGCCTCTCTGAACTCAGAGAATTGACAATTATCTTAATTGCATGTAGGGCCTTTTAATTTACATACATATCTCATTTGATTATGAAAGTTCCTGTGAGTTTGAGTTTCATCATAGAGAATAAGGAACTATAGCTCAAAAAGTTCACATCATTTGCATAAGGTTTTACACAGCTGGAAGGAGCTGCAAGGTCTGGCTCACAGTAGTGCTCTTTCTCACTTAAGGTTAATGGAATTAAATTCTCCTCTTCCAGATGGCTTTCTTTAAAGTATATTACTACATAAAAGAAGATAGTTCACGTTTTCAACCACATGCCAACAAGGGAATGAACTACTGAGAATTACTGATTTGAGCAATACTCCTCCTTTGGTTTATAAACACATTTATTTGACGTCATTCCTCTTTCAGCTATGTAGAGTTCCTGTTTCTCTACATGGTTTTCTGTTTGGTCTCTATAAAGTATTGGTTCAAAGTTCCTCTGAATCTTGCTTTCTCTTTCCTGTTTACTATGGAGCTCTGGGGAAAACGTTGTTTCATTTGTGAACCATAGACCATTATTTTGTCTCATGCATAGGCTTCTCTTGATCACCACCAGGGGGCAAAAGCCTATCAGCTGGTTTCTCTGCAGTACACTGTACAGAAGGCTGTACAGTACAGGGACCCTCAGTGATTCTTGATGGAACCTCCCTGCTAATTATTTCAACCACTGGGCCCCAGGGAGAGAACAAAGAATCAGCATAGAGGGCTCTTGTGTCACTTAACCACACAGCAAGCAGAGAGAGCTCACGACAGCCCCGTCAGTTTAAAAGGAGCAATGAGATCCAAGAGTGTTTGAGTGACAAACAGAAAGAGGTGGGCTTTAGGAACTGTGTGTGTTTTCTACAGCTTTGCGATGGACGGTGGCATTTACCAGCTCATCCGCTCAACTGCATCTATGTAAATATCAACGGTTTGCACTGTGTGATTTTTTTTCTTTTTAATCTTGATTTTTTTTCCCCATTACATTCTTGGTTGATATCGACAGCTTATCATTTAGAAATGTATTCCTCTAAAGTATTTTAAGTATACATTTTCACATCTCTGAAATAATGAAATTTAGGGGGAAAAAAGAAAGCACGACGATCAAATCCTTGTTTAGTGGAGATCTTCACTGTAGGAAGCAAATGGGATGTAAAGAGCAAGTTGGAGCTTTTCAATTCAGGGTTCAGCTCTCGGTGCCCCCAGGTTCCGCCAGCATCTCTTCTCTGGTGCAATGCCTTTGGGCAGGTAGAAGAGGAAGCACGAGGGTACCACGAAGTTTCCAGTGTTTACCACGGAGAAATCTTCCTTATTAAAAGTCTCACATTAACCGCGAGGCCCTTTATGATGAGGAGGGTGGGAAAGCTCACTAAGAGCCCTCTGAGGGCCAGGTCAAAGCGGTGAGCTGGTCTCCGAGGTCGAGGCCAGAGAGAGAGCGTCTGGCACAGCGGAGCTCCTTTCCACGAGAAAACGTGTTTGCCTCGGGATTTTCACCTCAGTCTTTCTCTGCGGTTGCTTAGGCTGCGCGCCCCACCTCATAAAATGGTCGTCTTTCAGGAGCGGGGATTAGCGCCCCCCCCCCACTTCCCGCTCAGGACCCCTTAACCCGATCGCCTCCCAGGTCCCTTCCCCAGCTCGCCTCACGCCACTGGGCAGCCGCCCGGCGGGAACAAACCGTGCGGCGACGGGCCTCGAGCGCTGACCCGGGAGGGGGCGGCGGCCCGAGGCGCGGCGCGGCGCGGCGCGGCGCACGCAGTCGCCTCGCTTCCGGCAACTCAAGGGTTACGCCGCCGCGGCGGCGCGCGCCGAGGGGAGAGGCGGTTGCTGACAGGTGGCGCCTGCGCACTGGGAGCGCTCATTGTGCCCCGCAGCTGCCGAACCGCCCGCCTGCCCGCCCGCCGCCCGTTCGGCGCGTCAGTCGGCGAGAGTCCGGTGGTGGGTGCGGAGCCCGAGGCCGTTCCCGCGGCCTCATCTTCCTCCCCGTCCTCCTCGTCCCTATCCCTCACCCTGTGGCCCCCATCCCGGCTCCGTCACCCTCCCGCCCCCTACACTCAGGACGAGAATGCCCTGCCCGGAACAACCTAGCAGCGCCTAGATGGCTTTGGTCACGGTCCAGCGGTCGCCTACCCCCAGCACCACCTCCAGTCCCTGCGCCTCGGTGAGTCCCTCCAGGCGGCAGCTCCTCGCTTCTGTCACTGCGGCTCCGCTTTGCCTCAGCGGGTCCCGCCGAACGCCACTGCGCACGCGCCGCGCCTCTTCCCAGGCCTTGGCACTCAGGCTGCTGCGAACCCCCCACACCCTCATCCTACCAGCGAGCAGCGGCGACTGCCAGATGTTGAGGTTTTGGCCCCCATCACCCGCAGCACCCAGCCCCTCACCGCACTGGCTCGGAAATCTCCCGTAGCAAGCTTCCCATGGCTTGAGCACTTCCTTTCGGCTATGAGTCATTCTTGCTTTTCACCCTCCCCCTTCTTTTACCCTCTGTTGCTCTGTTGCTGGGAGGGGAACGGTGGGCTCCTACGTTACCCCCGACCCACACCCATGTCCCTTACTCACACCATTTTAGGGACCAGGTCAGTACACTGCGCATCCTTGTTCCGTCTCACCGTGTGTGAGCCTTTCACCAGTCTCTGGCATCCCTCTTGTGCTCCGTACAGTTCAGGCTTCATTGGACTGCTCAATGGTAGTTACTCCCCGGTTTCTCCCCACCCTTAAAAGATGGCAGTGGTCTCCTCTGCTTCTCGGACTTTTACCTTTCTCAGTCGGGTCCAAAAGCATCCAGTGCTGCTCGATGACCAGTGCCAATTCATTTCCATCTTACAGACACTTGTGCCTTACCTCATTGCTCATGATGGTTCTTGCTCCTGGGTTGTGCTTTGATGGTTCATCACTTAAAATGCTTGTGTCGCTAAAGGCTGTTTCCAAAAGGAAAATACCCAGCAGCCAGTTTTTTTAATTAATTTATTTTTTTGGTCTGCTGGGCTTCTCTTTGCCTACATCCCCACCCCGATTCCTTTACAGCTAGCTCTATTCTTAGGATTCATTTTTGAGAATACCTGCTAACATGCGTATTGCAGCAGTGTGGTTAAAAAAAAAAAAAGACTTAATAAATAGGCACCTAGATGAAAATATGAACAATTGGAGAAGCAGTTTCCTATAGATTGTAATTTTTAATATTGGATTTAGTCGTATCAAGGTGCAAAGAGACATTCAGTGAACTCTATGGCCTTCTGTGCAAAAGAAAGTTGGGTTGTTAATATTTGTTAACTGAGATGTGAGGTTTGGTGTCTTGAAAGCATGTCACCTTGTGATTTCAGTATGGTTTCCTGGATTTCAAAATTTTCTTGCATATATTGGTGGTTTCTTCCTTTGTGAGTATTCTTGTGTGTTTTTGTGTGACTAAATCAACAACTCTACCCTAATTGAAGAAATTACTCTATTTCAGAGGTTGTTGATCCAGAACACAAAACCGAGATCTTTGGATAGACATTTAGAGAGTCAAATTTACATTGGCTTAGGGAAGAAGTTTGTAGAAAAAAGTACATTGTTTTGCAAAATAGTTAGTACACATAGCTAGATATATCAAGCAGAAGCTGGAGGGACTTTTGCCAGACAGCTAATAAAAGGAATTCCTGCAAGGGGGGGGGGTGAGAAAGAGTTTCCAAAGCATTATGATTCTGTGACTGTACTTCAGAACTTCAGAGCTGATAAAACATTTTAGGATCTGCTAGAGACAAATATCAGAGGGGAGAAATGTAGTATTTTCATGAGTAGATTTTTCACTTTATGGTAGATATTTCAAGATTCATAACATATTTTTAGACCATCTTAATTCACTCTACTAGTAACTCCTCTGATTTTTGTGGTTATCAGGCCTACTTTTGTGTGTGGGAACAATCAAGAGTGACCATTATAAATACTAAATCATATAAGTAGATACATACATACGAAGTAGAACCCAGTATTGTAATACTATTTTCCCTGGGCATTGTTGAAAACATTTTATGTTATAATAACATTTATTAAGCCATTGTTATACTGATTGTATTGAAGTAAATGATTAATATACGGTAAAGCCTCATCTGTTTGACATGGCTTCATTGGTCAAAACTTGGTATACTTTAGAATCTTAAAGAATGTTATAGTCATTTTTGACATAACAATTAAATTTGGTCATGTAAACACTGTAGTATTTATTGTAGTAAATATTGAGTGGTAAACTCAGTTGTTAAGCTTAATGACAGATATTTCCGTATCTCCTGATCTGATCTCAGTTGTTTATACTTGGCCCTGTGTGTAGAGAAATCCTGGCACTGGTGTGTGAGAGTAACAATCAGCATTGTTAGCGTGACTGGCAAGCCGGTTATCTTTCCCTTTAAATTGTCTTCCTATTTGACTTCATCCAAAGCTGTGCTCAGCTCAGTTGTCTTGTGGTCCTTGTATTCCAGTATTGGACTGTTGTCTGACCTCCATATATTTTTCTGTTTTATCTCTTGATGAATGAATAGGTTGGTTGGTTTTCAAAGTAAGGAAGAATGCAATAGGAAGTTAGAACCATAAGTAAAAAAAGGATTTCATTTTGTGAGACTGGAGATTTAAACTTTTAGTTACTTAAAAAACTCTGTAATACTTTTTCACTGAGTATGTTGGACATTTTAATACTGTCATTATTTTTTTCGTAAAACATAAAACAAATGATCACTGAAGTGATTAATCTTCAACTTTACTGTGAAAGTGCATCCAGAGAAGTTTAACAGAGGAGGAAAGACCCATCCTAATGTGAGTGGTACCATCCAATGGGGTGGATACTGGACTGAATAAAAAGGAAAAGCCCAGCAAGGCTCCATTATTCCCTTTCTGTTTGCTTTCTGCCCACGTTAACCAGTCCCTGCTACCATGTCTTCCCTTCCCTACCATGGATTGTACGTGTAAACTGTAACCCAAAATGAGTGCTTCCTCCTTAAGTTGCTTCTTTTTAGGTATTTGGTCACAGAATCAAGAAGAGTAACCCAATACAATCACCTACTATGTATGAGTAGCCATTATAGGTACTAAGTTAGAGAAGACATTCACCTGTCTGTCAGATAATGTAATTTGGGTAACAGGGCTAGAAGAAGACAAATGTGGGTGGGTGGGAGAATAGAGATAGTGAGGACAATAATACTGTGTATATGTGAACCAGTTTGCAATGGTCATAAGTATTGTCTGAGTTCAGACTGATATAAGTTCATTAATAGCAAGTAGTAATTAGAAAACTCAAGTTCTTCTCTTGGGTTCTCATCGGTTCCAGGCATCATGCTAAATACTTTACATACATGGCTTAATTCATGTATTCCTTACAATGTGCCAAAGGAAAGCTGTCCCTGTGTTATAGATGAAGAAACCAAGGCAAGGGGTGTTTAAGGAATATGTCTTGTGTCACTCAGCCAGTGCATTATTGGAGTTGTAATTTAAATCCAGATGTGGCTAACCCTTGAAAGTAATGTTGAAATGATGGTAATGAAGAAGCAAATCGCAGTAGGTGTCTCTCAAACTAGCTTTTGAAATATAATTTGAATTTCTAGAGGCTAGTATTGAAGACAAGAGCAAGGTATCCTAGATGGAGAAAAGCTATGTGCTCCAACATTTTAAGTCAGAAAAGTACAAGGCATTAAATGAAAGGATTAAATAAGTCATTGTGAGGATTTGTTTGGACAATGAGAAATAAAAGTGAGTGGTAGCTAGGGCTGTACAGGGACTGCTGAGCCAGTATTTGAGATTAATGAAAAAGTAATCGAAAGTTCTTACAAGTTTTGAGTAAATGTGATCATAAACGTGTTTTAAGAAAATTGACCTAGGTGCTTTGGGCCAGAGGGATTTTAGGAATGACAAGAGAAGGCCATGAATAGAGCTGGTTAAGGCTATTGTTGAGGGCTGAACTGGAATTTTTGAGTGTTAATGGAAGAGACAGAGGTCAGGGATTATGAGGAAGACTGACTGCATAGAGAAATCAGAATACCAACTTTTGGAATATATTGTTCTTCCTAGAAAATAAATGGTTCCTGGGGCTGGAGAGGTGGCTCAGCTGTTAGAAGACCATTGGTCTTTTACAAAGACCCCAGGTTTGATTCTTAGCACCCACAAGGTGGTTTCCAACTGCCTATAACTCCAGTCCCAGGTGCTCTGACTCCCTCTTCTGGCCTTTAGGGGCACTGCACACATTTGAGGCAAAACACCCATATACATAAAAATGAATTTAAAAACAAAGAAAATAAATGTTTCTTTCCTTTTTTTCTTTTTTTTTTTTCTTTTTGCCTTTTCAAGACAGGGTTTCTCTGTGTAGCTCTAGCTATCCTATAACTTGCTCTGCAAACCAGGCTGGCCTCAAACTCCTCTGCCTGCCTCTGCCTCCCAGGTGCTGGAATTAAAGGTGTGCACCACCACCACCAGGCCAAATGTTTCTTAGTTAATAAGGGCAATTTAAGAATTCTTGGGCCAAGAGTGTCCCCGTGATTCAGCTCAGCAGGAGCAGTACCAACAGCAACAACAAAATCTGCTCTCTGTTCTTTCTGATAGGATTTTCCTTTTAGTAGTTTATTTTAATTTTTAAAACTGCCATTTTTATTTCCAGTTGATACATGGTAATTGTACATTTTTATGTGGGACAGCTTGGTAATTTGATACATGCCTACATTGTGTAAATGACCAAACGGTTGTATCCATCACCTTAGCCATTTATCATTTCTTAGTGTTGGGACCACTTTTAACAGCTATTTAGAAATATGTGATTTCTTATTATCAATCCCTTTGTTGATACTTTGCTTTAGCATATTAAAAGGGATTTCTCCTTTTCAGATGCACACTTGTACTTATTAACCAATGTCCCCCCCACCCCCCCACCCCCGCCTTCCCTTTCTGACACTTTCCCAGGCTTTGGTAATCACTATTCTCTTAATTTCTATAAGATCAACTTTTTAGCTTCCACATAGACTACAGAACATGTAGTATTACTCTTTCTATGTCTGAATTATTTCACCACATAATGCTGTCTAGTTCTACCCATTTTGCTGCTAATGACAGAATTTTATCTTTTTTTTTTTTTTTTTTTTTTTTTTTTTTGTAGGTAAATGCTATACCATTTGTATGGTATTTTTTTTTTTTAACCTTCTTGTCTTCTGA